TGTGTGTGTGTGTGTGTGTGTATTTATACATGTCTGTGTGTGTGTGTGTGTATTTATACATGTCTGTGAGTGTGTGTGAGTGTGTGTATAAACCCCTGAATACATTCATGTCAACATGTGTGAGAACAAAAACTAATATTTTTGTTAAAGGTTTTGTTAGTCTAACAAAGTAAATCCTGTTGGCAACAATTAAATATTTCTGTATTGTTTTACTTGAATGCTGCAGTTTCAAGTGAATCAAGAAGACCTCTTTTCCTTAAATATATTGGTTCCAAAAAAAATAAAAATAAAAAAAATAAATAAACTTGAACCTTAAAAACCTTTGTCAGCCAGGTAAGAGCACTTTTTAATCTCAACATTTACTAATAATTTTTGAAAATTAGCCACCTTGGCTGTATCTGATGCATTTTACATTGATGTTATGTATTAGTCAGAAATAATTAACATCTTATTAACAAGAACAAGCTAGTACAATGTAACGGTTTCACAAACACATTTTTTGAAGGATGCTAAATATTGTCTGAATACTGTATAGTCAACACCAAACAGGGTTATTATACTTAAATAAAACTAAAACCATAAAACAGTTTTTGGTTAATTTAAATAATCTTTAACTGAAATAAATTTAAATATAAATCTTAAAACTTTATTTCAGCAAGTTGGCAAGGCAACATTTCTAACATGTACTAAAATAACTAAAACTGAAATTGTATATAATTTTTATTAATGAAAACTATATAGACATTTGAAAACAAAACAAACCTACTAAAACTGAAATGAAAATAAAAAATTGAAATTTAACTCAACCCTGACACCAAAATCCCAGAAATATTGAGATATCAGTTTTTGTTAATATTGCACACACTTTTATATTATTATAACATTATTTATATTTATATAATTATAATATTGCAAATGCTTAGAATTTTTTACTCCATATTAACTCCTGGAATCCAATTAAAATAGGATGGAATAAAATAAAAATAAAATGTTATAAAATAAACAATTTATAACAAAAAGTCTAAAATATATATTCAAATTAGGGAGATAGAGCTTGCATTGATACATTAATTTTATACATATAAAATTAAATACAATTTCTATTATAGTCAATTATAATTCAATATTAAATCCAATAAAATACATACACTAACAGTGGTTCAACGGATCACAAATCTCACGGTTCGGATCACATTACGGTTTTTGACCCACGGATCGGATCATTTTTCGGATCAGCAAGAAAAGAAAAATATTTCAATTTAACTTGCTTTCCATTTACTGAAAGCGAAGTACTTCTTTGATACCACAGCAAATACTACTAGATTAACTAAGAAAGTTTAAACATGATTAAAGTCACAAGAGGACAGCCAGTAAAAATAAGAACAAATACACAAATTACAAGCACAGATAAATACAACAGAATATGTTACAAATAAAATAAGGTTGGTAGTATTCAAATACAGAAATGTAATAATTAGGGGGAATAACACTGCATAGTGTTCACTGTATAAATTAAATATAGATTATTTTTATCACAGCTGTTTTGTTGTTTGATGATCATTAATGACAGCAGCAGTATTTATAGGCCGCTGTCCCTTTAAGACCTGATGCACGGATTCGATATAATGATACACATCACATCCGATTTCTTTCTGTTTTCATTCACTTGAGACTGACTGCGTTTACCTGAATGATTGTCGAGATGGGTATTTTGTCATAATTTTGTGTGTATGTGTCTGTTCAGAGGATTCAGAAGAGGATTCATTTCGGTAAGACTTGTAATGTTTTTTTAAAGAAGTCTCTTATGCTCACCGAGGCTGCATTTATTTGATAAAAAATACAGAAAAAAACAGTAATCTTGCAAAATATTATTACAATATAAAATAATGGTTTCTATTTTAATATCCTTTAAAATATAATTTATTTCTGTGATGCAAAGCTGAATTTCCAGCATCATTACTCCAGTCTTCAGTGTCACATGATCTTCAGAAATCATTCTAATATGCTGATTTATTATTAGAATTATCAACAGTTGTGCTGCTTAATATTTTTTTGGAAACTGCGATACTTTTTTCAGGATTCTTTGATGAATAAAAAGTTTTCTGAAGATCATGTGACACTGAAGACTGGAGTAATGATGATGGAAATTCAGCTGCGCATAACAGAAATAAATTATATTTTAAAGGATATTAAAATAGAAACCATTATTTTATATTGTAATAATATTTTGCAAGATTACTGTTTTTTTCTGTATTTTAAAGGATATTAAAATAGAAACCATTATTTTATATTGTAATAATATTTAGCAAGATTACTGTTTTTCTCTGTATTTTTGATCAAATAAATGCAGCCTCGGTGAGCATAAGAGACTTCTTTAAAAACATTACCAGTCTTACTGATCCCAAACTTTTGAGCGGTAGTGTATGTATTAAGATTTGTGATGAAAAGACAGAAAAACACTGAAATATATTTTTATGTATCAATGTTTATATATCTCGGCACTCTAGCGTGAAGAACTCTTGTCATTTAGAGGAAGTAAAGAGAAGCTTGTCATCTCTCTCTCTCTTAGTTCCTGTCTCTCTGTGTGTTTGTGTCTAATGCTCTCTCAGGTTTCCTCTCCGCTCCACCCGTCACATTCACTCTAACGAGAGCCGGAGCTCGTTAAAGCTTTCATTCCACATCCTGCTCAGAATTGAGTTTTTAAAAGCACATTTTGAGAGAAAAGATATGAAATAAACGACTTCTGACCGAGTTCAAGAAGCTGTAGGGGAGCAGTTTGAAACGTTTCACAAACTACGGAGTCAAAAGGCATCAGATAGAAAGTCGGTGTGTGTCCATCAGAGAAGTTTTAGCCGCTTTGACTGTTTTATTGGCTGTAAAATCTTCCGAACACATTGTAAAAGACAGTAAAACTGCAGTTTGGTGGAAACCGTCCACAACATCCACAAACAGATTTTCTTTCAACTCCAACATTTCTGCTGGTTTCATCCTGGACGTGTTTAGTAAGTTATTATTATTATTATAATATATTATAAGTTAATATAATAGTTCAGAAACTGAATCTAAAGAACGGCCAGCAACACAGAGATTGAAAGATGTTTTAATATCTGTGTATAATCTTGTTTTAAATAACAGAAGGCCTGTTTTCTGGCGTTCGCATCACATGGATAAAATGAGCACTTTAAATAGTTGTACAAAATATCAGCATTTGAAATGAAACGTATGACTAAAAAGTCTCTCAAGAACATGTTCAGGTCATGTTTTATCCCAAACATCAACTGATTTAATAAAGAAAATATATTTTGCATAAAGAAAAGGAAGCATATTTTTGTACCGTTAAGACTCTTTGCATTATGACAATTTTCATAATAATTAATTAAGCATGTTTCTCTAGAATTCTCATTATCTTATGCAAAACAAATCTCATTCTTTTAATATGGTAATGTGAAGAAATAATATTTTTTTAATTTTAGTTATTAATAATTATTTAAATTATATTTTAATTTACATTTTTAATTTTAACATCAAATTTATGTTTTACAGGGTGCTACAAAGATTAGCATAATTTTCTAAAATAAAATAAGCAAAATATAACAATTTGAATAGTTTAAACTAGTGCTGTCAAACGATTAATTGTGATTATTCGCATCCAAGATAAAAGTTTTTGTTTATATAATATATGTGTGTACTGTGTATATTATGCATCTATAAATACACACACATGCGTGTATATATTTTAGAAAAATATGTTATGTTTACATATTAAATATATTTATATATAATATAAATTATATGAATATAAATATATACATGTAACTATTTTCAAAATATATACTATGTGTGAGTATGTATATATACACATAATAAATATACACAGTACACACACACATATATTATATAAACAAACTTTTATTTTGGATGCGATTAATCGCGACTAATCATTTGACAGCACTAGTTTAAATAATGAATAATAATTAAAATAAATTAAAATAATAATAATAAAATTATATATATATATATATATATAATTAAATTATTATTAAATGTATTACCACATTTTTTATAAAATATTATCAAATAAATGTTTATATAAATATATTTAATTTATAATATATATATTTTTTTTAACTCTACAATAATGAAAAT